GGGGGGGGGGGGGGAGGTGTGAAGTTGGTAGTGAATTACATCTGGGTTGGGTTTCAGACACATACACACACTCTCTCTAATCTATGAGAAATGATAGTTAGGCTCGTGATGTTGATTATTGGGAGGTGTAGTCAAAAGTCAAAAGAGAAAAGGCATTCATTCACTATACATGTGTCAGATTGTCAGAAAATTCAGAGGCAGCGGAGCTGTAGTAAAGTAGATGGAATGGTCCATATGGAGACTCAGAGCGATGATTGGTTGGACCGAGACCCGAGTCGGGGTCTGGCAAAGTTGAAAGTTTCCTATTTCCTTTCAACTTTTGTTCAAGGGGGTAGTGATACTTGATGGACAGACTGCTGAGAGTGAGGAGAATCAAGGAATTGAAGCCAGACACGTGAGAGCGCGTGACACTACTGCACTTAAAAGACAACAATTCCAAGGCTACACAAAACATTCTATTCTTTATGTCAAAGCTCATAATGTTTTTTTTTTTTTAATTAATTAATTATTAATATAATATAATATAATAGGATTTTAGGGAGAATCATTTTGGCAGCAGGAGGATCTTCCGATAGTTTCGACAGTTAAAAGAGTATTGAGCTTTTATATTAAGACTGAATAGTTTGGAGCACCTTTGGTTACAAAGAACAAATAGAGAAAACATAAAAGCTTCATTTGAAGCCTTTTAAAAATTGCCCGTTTTAGGTTTCTCCATTGGCTTTTGATGGTTAAATCTACCGTAAACCAAACAAGAAAAAACTAAACCCCATGCCCCATGTGTGTTGGAGTTGGAGGAATAATCTTCAATGTTCAATCCAATAATACTCTCAGTCTCTTTCTTCCTCAGGCTCAGGCCCTCCTTTTCCAGATATCAAATCACTGACTTAGCAGGAAAACTATGACGACTTAATCCCTTAATGGTTCTCAGAAGATACGTAGTGCAGGCTGTAGCCCCTTTAAAGGCCGGTCCGGTGGATTTTCATTTTCTCTAATCCATTTTTCGTCCAACTTTCAGAGTATAAATTCGTAATATATCCATGAAAAATGAATGGAAGAAGGTAGGAGGAACAGAAAAAGAGTCGGTCTGTTTTTGATAGCAATGAAATGATGGAAAGCTATACTCTACTACTACTAGTAGTATGAATTATGAAAATGAAACAAGTTAGAAATCGGGAAACTCGTGATTCTGGTGGTGGGTCCTGCTGCTCTGTGATGGATGTGCTTTTTGTTTGTATGTGAAATTGTGAATCACCGATTTTCATACTATGGACCTGGATAGTAGTGGCCTACAGGTACCGGAAAAAGGCACAGGCTCAAGGACAATCAAGGTCCCTCAGATAACTAATGAGCCAGCCAGCCATGCAATCTTTCATCATTGTTTTGAATTCAGGACATTTATAAACCTCCCCTGTTTTGACTTCGAGAATCAAATGGCTCGTTTTCTCAACAACTCGGTTCCCTTCATCTTCATCTTCAGAGGAAGAGGCTCGTTCACCTCATGAGGGCAGCAAAGACAGAGGGGTCCATCTCTATCTCTGAAATGCATGTGAATTCCATGGTTATACAACTTATACATGCTGCTATCCTTCAAAGAATCCCTAGTAGCTTCAATTCTTAATATTAGGAAAATGAACATATAGAGAAATAGAAAATAAAAACAGGGTATATCAGACAAACCGTTTATTACCCAACATGGTTGGTCTTTGTTTTTGATGATATGGCAGTTGTTTTTTGTTTTCAAAACACAACCATTAACCAACCGAGTTGTCTAACATTCACAAAGTGGGTCATTACAGTCCTAATAGCACCCATAACCCCACTCGTGTATTCAGTCTAAACCATTTGGAATTTCTTATGTTTTGGTAGGAAAAAATCAACTCATTAGCCTATTAGAGCATGCTTATCTCGATAGTCTCCTACTCAGATGATTGGCATCATATTGTAGATAGAGTTCTACTCAGATCTTCCTCATCCTTACAGTAACTTATCTTTCTTCTCGAGTGTTGTAACCTATCTCTATCTCCTAGTGTTTGTATTGTACTCAGACTACAACAGACTACTATAAATACACAAAGGGTTCGATCAACCTAATCGTCGAGCCATTACTCAATAATCTTCCTATTAGTTTTCTATCTTGGTATCAGAGCCAAATAGCATGGCCTCCAATGGTTCAGTTTCTGCTTCAGTCAGAATTCCCAAAATCTCTTTCGAACATGGCCTCCACCGGAGGGCATGGTTTCTTCTTTGATCTCCACCTCCTCTCATTATTTCCCTATCTAATTGAGTGGAGATGATTACCTACTCTGAAAGGCACAACTTCTCCCAGTTTTTTATATTCGATCATAGAGTCATGGGCATCATCAATGGTACTATCAAAGCTCCCCCAAAGGAAATCGATGATCCTAATGATCCAAACATCAAGTTACCAAACCCTGTGTATGCTGATTGGTTTCAATAGGACCAACAACAAGTCCTCAGTTGGATTATCTCTACCCTCACTTGAAGGAATCTTATCTCAAGTGGTGGGCCTTCGCTCGTCTCATGAGGTATGGATTGCTCTTGCAAAATCTTTTTCTGCTCATTCCCGAGGTCCTTCAAATGCATAGACATTTGCAAAGTTTAAATAAAGGCAGTCTCTGCATTACTGAATATATTAATAAAGCTAAGTGTCTCTCTGATAATTTATCTACTGTTGCCAATCCTATTAGCTCTACAGATCTCGTGTTATATGTACTCGCTGGCTGAGTTCGGAGTATGAAACGGTGGTAACTACAGTTACCAACCGATCCAACTTTGATCAACTCAACACTGATGATGTTTTGGGTATTCTGCTTAGTCATGAAGCATGGTTAGAACAACAACGTCCTTTGTCCTTGACAACACGCCATCGGCCAACCTCAGTTCCTTTAAAAACAAAAATCAGCCCAATCACCCATCGCAGAAGCCCCAGAATGGTTCTTCCCCTAACACTTGTGGCTATGGCCATGGACGTGGTGGTTCTGAAGGTAGAACTCCTGGAGGTCAAGGTCATGGACATTCCACTATCATATGTCAAGTGTGCAACAATCCTGGACATGGTGCACTCAAATGTAGAAGTCGGCATGATCTTAACTTCAATAATTTACAAATAGAGGAATCCAAACCAGCAACTTTTCATGGGGCGTCTCTTCCAATTTTGACCCTACCTAGTATCTTGATTCTGGTGCCACACATCATATGACACTAGACATTGACAATCTACAAAATTGTTCTGATTATGGAGGTTTGGATCAGATTAAAGTTGACAATGGGGTAGGTTTGTCAATTTCTCATATTGGTTCTTCACTGATGTCTTATGCTTCTCATAATTTTAAATTGAATGATTTGATGCATGTACCACATATTTCGAAGAACTTATTATCTGTTAGCAAGTTTACTCGCAATAATGATCTATTCTTTAAATTCTATCGCGACTATTTTGTTTTGAAGAATTATATAGGGAGACAAATTTTGCAAGGACCCAGTAGAGACGGGTTGTATTGCTTCCCGGGTAGTCTTGACATCAAGAATCACCAGCCAACTGCTTTCGTTGGTGAACGTACTTCGGTTCAAGGCTGGCATCAATGACTCGGACATCCAGCTCTTCACATAATATGGCAAGTGATCTCTGAGTTCAGACTCCCATCCTATGCCAGTAATACTTCGTCTGTGTGTGAGTTGTGTCAATTAGGGAAGAGCCATTGGTTACATTTATCTTCTTTTGTTAGCCAATCTAGTGCTCCTCTAGATTTTACTTTTTCAGATGTTTGGGGTCCTGCCCCTATTGTGTCCAATGATGGTTATAGATATTATGTAATTTTTATAGATGATTATAGCAAGTTTACTTGGTTATTCTTGATGTGAAATAAATCTAATGTATTTGATATTTTTCTTAAATTTAAGAAGCATGTATAGGTGTTATTTGAAAGAAGTATCAAGTGTCTACAGTCTGATTAGGGAGGAGAATATAGACGGGTGTCATCTTTCCTAGTTGACCACGACATCACTCACTAGCTTTCTTGCCCACACACTCATGAACAAAATGGTGTTGCCGAAAGGAAACATCGCCACATCAACGAGTTTACCCTGTCTCTATTGGCGTCCTCAGCTCTCCCCTTCACCTTTAGGGATGTTGTAGCCTCTACAACTATCTATCTGATTAATCAGATTCCTTCCAAGGTGTTGAACAATCAATCTCCTTTTCAGACACTGTTTCACATTGCACCGAATTATAAGGTGCTTCATGTCTTCGGTTGTGCTTGCTATTCACTACTTCGATCATACAATCACCACAAGTTTTCTTTCCAATCACTTCGATGCATCTTCCTTGGATATAGCAGTTCTCACAAGGGTTATAAATGTTATCACCCTTCCTTTAGCTGTCTCTACA